TGTTTGGATGGAGGGTAGAGAGGGAGAGGGGAAGAGAAATCTAATTTTAACCTTGTTTGAGAGTTCCATTTAGGAGGTAGAGAAGGGGAATGGAGAAGGGGGAAATTTGAGTCAAAATCTTACAACACAAACTGGGGTGTAAAGAAGGGGACAGGAAGGAAGGGTTTCCCCATCCATCTCCTTCCTTCTTTTTTCTAAGTCATCTCCCAAACACAACATTACTAAAATGCTTCCTATTTCATGATCGGTCGTTAGCTAAGGAACATTTTAGTATTGATATTTTTTAATTGAAATTAACGATGAAATAATCTTTTAACCATTGAAGGCACGAACTATTTTTTTTTTTGGGGGGGGGGGGTGGGGGATAAAATGTCGAAGCTAAATTTTGTGATTAAGTCTTTACTCGGTTGCTTAAGAATTGTAAGATTTTCCAAATAGGTGGTAGTTCGGTGAATTGTTAGTTTTTAATTTTAGTTTTTTCCATTTTATCTTCTAAAATAATACCATACATTAGCATGAGAGATATTCATGTTAGGCCTATCCAAATGGGCCGGCTCAGCTCGGATTTGCAGGTCCAGGCCGGGCAAAATGCTTAGCTCGGAGCAGGGTTGGACTTAGGTCTGGGTTCGGGCCAAACGGAGCCGGGCTTCGGGCCCGCCCGGGTTTTTTTGTTGTTGTTTTCCTTGATTTTTTTAGCAATAAATTGCTAAAAAATTAGATTAATCTTATTATATTTATATAAATATATATTAGTATATACTTACATATTAGTATATAGCTATATATTATATATACATATATTATATGTAAATATATTGTATATCCTTATAAGTTATAAGTTGAGAGAGAGAGGGAGGGAATCACATAAGTATGTATTACTTATTTATAAATACGCATTATATAGTTATATATGTATTTGTTACATACTTATATGGGAGGGAATCACATAAGTATGTATTACTTATTTATAAATACGCATTATATAGTTATATATGTATTTGTTACATACTTATATTATGCTTATTTAATTATATATATATATAGTAGATGCAATATACTTATATGTTGTTATAGTATTACTACTCTAGGACATACAACGTATTAGTAAACAAATGGATGTATCATTATACGTCTTGCCCCTCTCAAAGGGATGGCCCAGATCCTCTATAGTCTGACTCAGTCGATTCGTCTAGTCGACATTCTTGCATGTCGACACGAAAGGCGGTGTTAGTTAGTCTTCTTATCCTGGACGGCTCGCCAAGAGTCTACTCGACTACTCGTCTAGAACACATATTGAAACCGCCTTGAAACGACGTTACTTCTTGACGAAGCTACCCTCACTGGCTACATGTTCGCATCGCATTTAATTCATAGTAGGTGCATTATTTCTTTGGCCCCGATAGTCTTCGTGACTCATCGGACCACGTAGGCCACTGTCCCGTCACTGATCACTTCCCATTTAATATCGAAGTGATTTACCCTCTAGTAGTCAACCTACACATGTAAAGCAAAAGCTGACTCAGCTGTCAACCTGCACTTCGCCACCGCCTCACTATGCTCGGTCGAAGTGACCAAATAACCTCTCATGTTTCAGATATAAATAAAGGTATCATTCGAACTTAGAGGGGGACTTTTTGGAAAAACACAGATCGAACCCTGGAGTATTTTTCTGCACACAAGAACACACTATTCTAACTTGTCACACTCAAGTTCATATCAACTAACTTGATCGTTAAAAGTACAATGGGGGAACTAATCCCCGCCCTCTTACGAGTTTCTACACGTGCAGATTGATCGACACCCAAACTCAAGAAGCAGACATAAAGTCAGAGAAGAAAGCGACCCTTCATCAACACTGAACCAAACCTAGGGCTAAGCACGGTTTGGTTCGGGTCGGTTTTTACCAAATTTTGAACAACCGAACCGAACCGCATATAATTCAAAACCAAACCGAACCGTTGCAAATCAATTCAGTGTGGTTCGGTTCGGTTTGTTCAGTTCTAACTTTATTTTTAGAATGACTTAAACAGTAGACTTGTCAAATGCTAAATCAAATAGAATATATCGTGACGGGTAAGGGATCCCATGAATATTAAATAATAGTATTTTAGGGGTTGCCGACTTAATTTGGAAAAACAAGAGGGGGAAAATGAACAAAATCATCATCCATGAAAAAATATATAACAGAAAACAAATTAAGGATCGTTATCAAAGCACAAACTCAGAAGTCATAAGAGAATAGGAGTGCATAAATAAACAGGAAACTGATAGGCCGATATCTCAACTTACTAGCAGCTGTATCCAAGGAAATAAATCAAAATTAAAGAATAATTACAGTCAAAATCTTGAAGAAGAGCAAAAGATAAAGTTTATACCTCAATCTTGACGACGGCAACGGGTGCGGGTGTCCCGCCAAAGCCGGAGGCAGATCCTGAGCCTGAGGAAATGTTTCGACCTCAGCCATGAAGACTGCGGAAGTGAGGAAGATGAAGAGGAAGTGAGAGAGGTGGACTGTGGAACTAAGGACTGAGGAGTGAGAGAGGGTGAGAGAAAAGAACTGAGGAGGCAGTTGGGAAAGGGGGAAGGGAAGTATAGGTGTTTAGGGTTTGAGAGTCTGGGACTTTGTCTTTGGGGACGAGTCGGGTTTGAGCAGAATGGGTATTTAGACCATGGGGTATTCGGTCAGTTCGGTCGGTTTTTTCGATTTGGACCGAATCATGCTCAGCCCTAACCGAACCTATCCTCTTCTGGATACTATTGACTATTTGATCTTAGCCATCAACATATATAATTATATTTATATACTTATATGACTATAAGTCTATAGTATAAACATATAACTATTACTTATAACTACATTATATATAAGTATATCTTAGTATCTATATCATGTTAAGAGTATATATATAAGTATATAATATAATATACTTGTATACTTACAAGTGTGTGTGTGTGTATATATATATATATACATATATATATATATATATATATATATATATATATACACATATATATATGTGTGTGTGTGTGTGTGTGTGTGTACTTGAGTACTTAAATATATTAAATATATACAACTATACACACTTAGAACTACGAAGATATGATCATTTTCCTTAAAAAACCACATACACTTAGAAATATATATATATAAGTATATATTAATAGTCATGTCATTATATAATTATATATAAAAATATATACAATATATGTAAATAATTTAAAAACCGGGCCAGGTCAGGCCAGGCCGGGGCCGGGCTTCACCAATGCAATCCGGGCCCGAAGCCTAGTCTACCCGGATTTTCCAAGTTGTTCCCAGGCCTGGGTTAGGTTCAGGCCTAGCCGGGTCCGAGCCGAACACGATCCGAGCCAAACCCAAATTGACACCCCTAATTCACGTGATAAGATTTGAAACTGAGGACTCCTGCCAGATTTTACATGGTTAATATATATTTAATGAAATTTGATGCGGTTAGCAATTGAATCAGGTGTGCTACCAACTCATGAATAGCATAAGAGCCCCTTTGGTTGTTTTCTTTCATTTTCCAAAAACGTTTTTTTTTACTATTTTTTTTTGTGTTTTCTTTATTTTCATGGAAAGTATTTCTCATGTTTGTTTCGCCAAAAAACATGCAGTAAATTTAATTTTCATCACTTTTCTTAGTTTGATTCAATTTGAAAAAAGAAGAAAATAGTTAACGAGTGAATAGATTTCCTCATTTTCTAGTATCTGGCTCAAACTGGAAAAAAAAAACTATGGTTGTGATCGCCATAGTGTGTTTATCATCCACACATGACAAAAATATTGGCAACATTAATTAACGGGTGAACGTACCCTGTACCCACCATCACATAAAAATTATATCGATAAACCCAATAACTATTTAAAGTAGTAATTTGCAAAATAATCAAAGATTTGAGGGATTAAAGTCAAAATGTGAAAATTTGAGGGAGAAATCTTAGAATGTTTAAAAATTTGAGGAACTAATTTTAAATTTTGAATACATAATATTAACCCTAAGGTTTTGCTATGCTCAATGGTATTCATAGTAATAATATGCTCTAAAGTTAAGTAAGTCAAGAAAATCTAAGTTTAAGACATGAAATGTTCATAAAATAATGTCTCCATGAAATCCCAATGCAACCTAGCCCCCCTACATACAGCGCTCAAAGCAACCCCCTCCACCCACGTCTCATGTGAAAACTCCCAAACCAAACACCCCCAAATCTCCACCATTTTCAATGCCCATCATCAGAAAATTCTACCCCAAATCTCCACCTACATCACCCACACCATCATCCCTCTCTCCGTCGTCTCCTTAACCCACGATAATGGGTCGGATCCAACCGAGATCATAAATCCAAATCCAAATCTTGCTCCATTTCAACGATCGCCTCAACGATCCCATCGCCATGCTCACCGCCGACGAGCTCTTCTCCCACAACAAGCTCGTCCCTCTCCAGCTCGAACCCACTAAACCCTAGAGAATGCGGTGACCCTAGAAAATTTCCCCTCTTTCTGTCTGCGATTCACGCAGAATGAATGATGAGTTTTTTAATGGGTTTTATTAGGTTTTCTGCCGAAACCGGTGTTTTGAGTGAGAAAAGTGATTTCCCGATTTGGCCGAGGTGGAACACGATTTCCTCCACGTTTTCCTTTCTCTTTTTGGCGAACCAAAACATCCAGAACTAAGGAAAACTGAATTTTTTTCAGTTTTCAGTGAACCAAACATGCCCTCAGTAAATATAATTTATATACCATTCGGCAGATTCATGTCGAATCTAGGCTGACCAGGGCCCAATAAAATGTCTATAGCGTAGGAAAATAATATGGGCACACCCTCAACCACATTTCCAACCACACCCCCTCTCTTATTGCTACAGTGTACCAGGTCCCACATGAGATTTTAAAATTTTAAAATCCCATGTGAGGCCCGGTACACTGTAGCAAATGAGAGAGGGGGTGTGGTTGGAGGTGTGGTTGGGAGTGTACCCCTAGTGTCACCCTATAGCGTATAGTTGCCTGTTTAATCCTAAATTTTTGTTCAAGTCGAAAACTAATTTATCATTGGAGCTGAGAAAATTCTTGTCCATAGTACAACAGTTGATATAATGTACCGTCTGATCATATAACCGATTAGGTTGATACGCTTTGGTATGGTTCGGTCAAAAACCATTCAATCATATGGTTAACAAGATCAGGCTTCTCCAGTGGCAATGCATGTCCAGCATCCTTGATAACTTCAAGCCTCGCTTTTGGCCCCAAATGTCTGGTCCCATAATGAGAAGAGAGTTAGCTTCAAGAATGGATGCATTATGGGACAAAAAAAAAAGTTCGACGATGAAATTATTCCCTTTTATCGCTCTCTTCAGAATAACACCCTAGCCTCCCACTTTCAACATGTAGGAAATTAAGCACCAAGATTCGCAGGAAATTAATTAAGTACAAAAGGTTTGATTGCATGAAATAATATTCTCCGGAATCCATGAAAAAGTGAATGCCAGATCAAGAATTCCGTCGAAGTTAAAGCCCTCAAACTAAAGTTGTCTTTGTCATGACGAAAGTTCGCTGAGGATTTCGCACAACTTTTGCTAATTAGCAAATTTTAGCATTATAAACCCT